TATATTGATCGCAAAAAATTACGCCGGCGCCCGCTTTCATCATGTTTTCTTCTTTCTGTGTGGGATTTCTAAAGATTTTGATTCAAAAATATCATAATTTCACCAGTTTTTCATAGGTTTTTGCAAATACTTAGCACCTAGTTTTATTTGAAATAAATAGATGAAATTAATACTTGAATAAGAGGAAAAGTTTTGTAATAAAATTTTTGACAAAATGCCATAGAAATGAGAAACTTACAAAATGGCTTATGTTTTGGACTTTCTTAAGGAAAATTGCTAATTATTGCTATATTTTTTTATTTCAAAACAGTAATTTAAAATTTAGCCAGCGGGCATATTTTTCTGATAGTGCAGCATTACTGACTAAAGAAAACAAATTTAACCTTTAAAACCAGTTCAGGGGAGAGTGGTGGTATTTTTGCAAATCTTAAACAGAATTTCAGTTAGATTTCTTTGAGAAGACAATAGTTTCACAAATAGAAAGCTAACACATTCGACAATGGCGTAAACTATCTTTATTGTCTATTATTTGTCCAACTGGCGACAGAAAAAGTTAATCAGTATTTTCTCAGTATTTAAAGAAAGGATCTCTTAATATTTTATATTTACGTCAGAGATAACGAACTTATTTTGATTTGTAATTGTTCCACTCGAGACGATGTAATAACCCGTATGATATTTTTCGCTTTATCCTATAGTTTATATATAGTCAATATAACAAAGTAACAAAGAAGAAGAAAAGAAAAAATTTGCAAACAAAAATTTTTTATTTTCGATCTGATCTTGATTAATATAAAATTTAAAATAACTTGTTTACTTGTTGTTGTCTTGAATCCTATGGTTTTACGCAATTATTATTTTCTCTTCTTCTTCTCTTCTTTATTGGCGCTGTAACCGCCTAAGCGATTTTGGCCGAGTCCAAAACCGCACGCCAGCCATTTCTCTTCTGTGCTAACTGAAACCAATTGGAAATGATAAGTGGAGCCAAGTCCTTCTCCACCTGGTCTTTCCAACGCAGAGGAGGCCTTCCTCTTTCTCTGTTACCAGCGTCGCGGCCCGCCTTGAATATTTTCAACGCTCCTGGTTTCTGTCCATTCGAAGGACATGGCCAAGCCAGCGGTGCCGCTGAATTTTAATTCGCTGCACTATGTCTATATCGTTGTATTTTAGTGTAACTAAATTCGACTTGACAAACAGGTGGCAACCAAATATATTTAAGCTAAACGTTTTCAAACCTCTTTCGTCTGACTCCCGTATGGTGATACCTATCTATTTCAATTACCAAATTATTTTAATTAAAGTGGAATTTGATTTTTTAAACAGGTAGCAACTCTCTATATGTAGTTAATACGCATTTCGATTGATACCCATCTCCCAATTATTCATTTAACTTATAAAAAAATTCGAATCGAATTTTTTAACAGGTGGAAACTCTAAAAAAAAAAATAAACCTTCTAGTGTCCACAGGTCAAGCTTTTTAATCTGACACTTCAGTTTTGAAAATGGAACGAATCTGGCAGATCTCAAGTAGGGCTGATGATTTCACCCGGGTAATGAGCTACCCGGGTACCCGGGTAGCGGGTGAAGCCCTACCCGGGTATTGAATTACCCGGGTAGCCCGGGTACCCGGGTATTTTATAACCCGGGTAGACCGGGTACCCGGGCAGTATGGTAATTATCCGGGTACCCGGGCACCCGAAAAAATGTGGAGAGGTGAAAATTAAACGCATTTACGATCATATAACGCAAACGAACGTACATAGGGAAAATCTATAAGAATCTTCCGTACCATATGGGGAAATATTATAATATACAACACATACATTGCACTTGACAAATCCGTCATTCATCACACAAGCGTACTTCCAAACCCAGCTTGTTTTAGGCATGTCTAAAATATTAATATTTACGAAGTTGGTAATGCACGTACAGATATCGGATCGGTAACAAATAAAATTATTGAGACACACCCACCTGCGAATCTAAACGATGACCGACAGTTGAGGCAATTTTTGTGTTGGAAAGAAACAAATTTTAAAATTTCTTCCACAATTATTTCACAACAATACGTTCATCAACCTACTTCTCGTATTAAGGAAACTTCATTAAATAATTGTGATTTTAAAAGCTTTAAATATTATGAGAAAAGAAACTATAATTTGAACAAGCTGATACAATAAAAGTACAAACTCTTTAGGTGAATGAATACCATAAGGCTTTGTTACCTTACTTTTTGTACCAGAAGTGGCCTACCACAGGGTTTAGTTCTTATATAATTCCCAATGAGAACGTTCTCGTCAGTTTTGTTCTCATTTTGGTTTTGGTTTTGACGCGTTCTTGGGAACAAAACTACGACAATGGCATTTAGTTTCGATCATACATTTCGTTCTCAGTCCCTGTTTTAAAATATTAATATTTAATATTCTTTAAAATATACATACATACATACATATGTACACATGCATGTATGTATATGCATTTACAAAAATTAGAAGTTTGAATTTAAATACAGAAACTAATGTTTTAATTTACTTTTCTTGTCTCCGTCTACTCAGGCAAGCGGTTAGGTGTACATAGTCGCGTACACTCTAGACATAAAAAAATAATTATAAAAAAAAATTTTCTCACTGAAAAAATATTTATCCTCACCAAAAAGATTATACAAGAAGCTTTATGTCGCATTACCCGGGTGTTTTTCGTTTAACCGGCACCAACATATGTATATTACCCGGGTACCCGGGCAAATCGGGTAATACCCGACTACCCGGGTAATAAAAGCCCCGGGTAATACCCGGGTAATCGGGTACCCGGGTACCCGGGCATTACCCGAATTACCCGGGCACCCGGGTAATACCCGGGTAACCGGGTACCCGGGTATCATCAGCCCTAATCTCAAGGCACTGACAAAAAATGAATAAATTATTTTATCCATTAGCGAAAAACGCATTAATTCAGAAAGTGCACAAAATGAGCAGGTTTTTATTTCTTCTTTTGAAAGCTAAAAGCCCGTACTATTTAATAAAATTAAAAAAAAAGATAACCTATTAAAATTTAGCATTTTTTGAAATTTTGTTTAAAAAAATTGTTTTTTTTTTAACCGCAGGGACACCCTGTGTTTAATTTCATTCCAAAATTTTAATTTCTGTAATTGTCTACTATCTATATGGAAACAAGAAACGTCAAACCAACATTTTATTTCAAAGAATATATTTTTGACATTTTTTTCTGTGAAGAGCTTACGCCTGGCTATGCTTTTATTCAAATTCTTAGTATAAAATTTGTCGAATTTAGTGACTTCCTGGCGGCATATAATTAATTATTTAGGACAATGTCTGTTTAATTCTTTTTAATGGATAAATTGTCTTTACAAAAATACCAAACAAGTTCACATAGCAAATATCGGAATTTTCGATTTTTGCCCACTTAGGCGGCACTGTGCAGCGTCCCGATTTTTCGCAAGGTTGTGGGAATTTAAAAACAAAGGAGGTTTTTTTTCAAAAATTGATATAGCAAAAAGGGCTGAATAAAAAAAAAATTACAAAATCGGTGAGGTCTCTCTCAATTGGTGCTATAACATTTAAAATTATAGAAAAATTGGAGATACAAAAACCAAATGTGTGCATATGTAAATACGTATTTAAACAAATGTTTGAATAACAGAAAATTATAATGTATAACATTGAAAGCAATCCATAAAACAAATGGATGGTTTAAATGACTTAAGCAAAAAAAGAATAGTAAAGTGCAAATTAAAGCACACCACAGCCTTACGCCATTCTAAACACTTTTTTTTTCTTAAACTAAGTCAGTGATGTCTAAAAGACTTTGCTCTAACGCGCCGGTAATTATATTCTAAATTTACTATTTTATTTATGTATGTATGTATGTAATTATATTCTAAATTTAATATTTTATTTATGTATGTGTGAGTAAGTAAGCGCGTACTTTTGTGCGTATTAGACATGTTATTGGTTTTAATTTATCTGCTGCTTTAGGTTAAGGTCAACTAGAAAAATCGAGCGTTTAAGCAAGTAAAGTATTAGCAAAGAAAAGAAGCATAAAGCTTTAAATTACAATTAGAGAATAAAATGCCAAGCGACCGAGTGGCGAAAAGTGGAGGCAGAACGGCCAAATCGGAGTCGACTTAAAGAAAATTGCAGTTTGATCGATTAAGTGCAAATGTTAGTAGTTTAGAAGTCACAGAAATTCATAGATTACAAAGTGCACGGACGAATTCAAAAACAATGTAGTTACTTTTAAAAATGCTATGATTCAAATTGAATTTAAAATTGACTGACACTTTTTTTGGTGCACCATGTCTAAAAAAATTTAACTTACTTAAAGCAGAACTTTCAAGGTCAAAGGCGAGAATAGACGCATATAGATTTTAAGAAAAATAAAGCACAGTTCGATGCTCGCTTTCGCGATGTCTTTCACAAAATTCAAAAGACTTAGGACACGAACTTGTTTTTGAAATTTCAAAATGGAAATAGTTATATGGATTGTTGAGTTATATAATTGCAAGCGTACAACAATAAACAAAAAACCATATTTAACAAATGCAGATTGAATAGGTAAGAAATTTGTGTTGATATTTTAGGGACATTTTGCGTTTAATCTGGAAATTTTCAATAAATGATAGTAGGATTTTTGCTTAATTCAAAAATAAAAATACACCATAAAATTACTTTTAAAAGATAACAATTCATACTACAGCTAAAGCAGCATATTCACAGAGGTGTACACAATAACATCTCTAAATCTGTCACACGCACAAAAGCGAAGTGTTTGCTTTGAAAACCATTTCCATTTGCTGCGGAAATTTGTGTTGTACAAACTTTCAAACCAAAAGTTTGTATTAGCATCAATATGTAGATGTATATAAGTATGTTTATACGTATGTACATATATATGTATGCATATATTTTTTACCATTCGTTACACAAAATTCTTTAAAATATTATATTCAAATAACGTAAAAGCTTCCGCCACTTCCGTACCTTTTATTTGCACCAAACACACAAAATCGTCGATAAATTCTGGCAATTTGTTAACCTGTCAGAATATGACAATCACTGCTGAAACGTACTCGAATGAGTAAATTCTTGCCGTACGTGTATGTTTGTATGTGTTTCTTGTTGGCATCCGTGTGTTATTGCCACAAAACTATCAAAACTCACTGAAAACCAAAACAAAAAACCAAAACTGCAGACTATATCCCGATACTCAAACCGTTAAACCGTCGCATGCGGCCGCCAAGAAAACACTGATACTTCGTTCTATCCGTTCAGGTGCATAAATAAACAAAATTAGGCATCTCACACCTAAGCAAATTCGAACGCACTCACACAAACGCGCATAAGTATTGGCATAGTATGAGGGGGGGGGGAGGGAATACGTCGGTCTGGTTGGTACACACATTAGCTTGCAATTTGGAATCAGCAGCGTTAGAACTTCACTACGATCGTAGTAGATTTGCTACGATTTTTTATGAAAATTAGAAATTTACTACGCTACTCTGAACTCAAAAAATTGTCTTAGGGCTGCTTTTTCAAGTAGCTTTTAATGTATGTATGTGGCCTTCAAATACATTTTTCGCTAAAAAAAAAATACTACACCTTTTTTTAATAGAAGAGGTCAAGCAGTGTTTGGCTTCCAATTACACTGTACTTATGTAATTTTCTAACTCTGGACATTTTCTAAAAAAGAGATTTATAAGGCCATGAAATAGTATTCAAATGTTCATTTTTTTTTTTTTGATATTAGTTTATAATTTTAATTTTTACTGCAATTTTTCAAGGACTCCCTGAATATATCCGACGAATAATTTTTTTGAACCCCTTCAGAAGTCCTATTTAAACCAAAAAAAAAGAAAAAAAACAAGAGCTTAGAATGTTATATAAGAGATATGGAAAATTTTTACGTTTCTAAATAGTATAGTTGCTGGACACGATTAAAGCTATTGTTATTCATAATTTTATTTTTTTAACTAAAAAAGGCAAATTAATATGAGCCAATATACATAAAAATATCTACTACGGAATTTTATTTTCTGCTACGCTTTTTCACTTCATTTACTCCGATTTAGGTTTGCCGTAGTTCTAACCCCGTCAATCAGTCAGCTTTTGCGCTCGCATTCTCAGCTTGTAAGCGCGCCACCAACAATTTAAGGACAATGTCAGCATTTTGTTGTTACTGATAAGTACATACATTAATATGTATGTGCAGTGTATTTGTGTTGTGTGTAAGTGTGTGTGGTAAGCGTACTCATCGCCAAGCTCAATATCGAACATGTTCGATGCCGGCTTAGCCTCTGCGTATACATAACTTTACTCGACGTTTATTTGCAAAGCAAGCAATTATATGTATATCATCGATATACTCGCCGCATTTGAGTTCGCTATTTGCCTGTTTGGATTTTGGATTCTCAGTTTTGCAATTTGGCGGTGAACTACACAAAAATAACCGAAAACATAAAAATGGTCAAGGCAGCAAGCAAGCAAGCAAGCAATTAAACAGATAACTATTTGAGACTAAGAGATGCTGTAGTTAATAACTATGCAAAGAATATGAATTCATTTTCCGCCTAGTTTGTTTTGCTAACTGGATTTTTTATTCGAAAATCTAAACAAAATTTAATAAAATATTTGACGGTAACAGCACTGAAAGTAGAGAAAACAATAAACTCGAGCCCCCAGTCGATGACGAATAGCAATAACAAATCAGCTAAAGCTCTTAGCTGAGCTGAGCTTATCAGTGTGGCCTTAGGCAAGGCAATTCTACTAAAGGTCACCATAGGCCAACTTTTGGAAAATCCCCGCGAGTGCACAGTGGTTTAGCTTGTATGGAGCAATGGTCAAAACTGATTTTCTCGGAAACTAAATAATATTTCGCAGTAAAATTTGATACACTTATCCAGGCTAGGTTGGTAATGAAAATGAGTGAAATCGGATCAAAACTGCGCTTGACTTCCAAATAATTGTATTTTTGGGGGAAAAAAAACTAAAGGTCTTATTCATAAAAAATAAAGTAGCTTTATAAAAGGTTTATAAATTGAAAAATGTATGAAAACGTCAATTTATAAAACTCTTTAAACCTACTTTATTTTTTATGAATAAGGCCATAAAACTGCTGCAGCCAAATTACTAAAAATTTATATATAGAGTGAACTTTAAGTAAAACATGTAGTATTTAATGAATTTGTTTAAATGGGCCAACTTACCATGAAATATATGTACCCGCCTAACCGATTTTATCCAAACTTGTACACTCATTACCGTTAGCCCCATTCAAAAATTCTTTGCAACTTTTTGACAACGGACAATGACTAATCAGCTGACCCACGCTCGCATGTATTGGTATTTTACTATATAATAATGCTAAATATCACGGGTTTGTATTTAAAAAAAAAAATTTATGAGCCGAAAATTTGGTTTTTATTAAATAAATTGATTTGTATTAAAAGGTTGTTTTAACTAAATATAGTAATAAGTGTATTTGCATTGACATCATGGGGTGTGCAAGCAAAATAATATTTGTAGCAAAACAAGCGTTCTTTATGCTAATTTTCTATAAAAGTATTGGTCATGCTATCATCAAAACCACATAAATTAAAATGTCAGTCTTTATAAAAAATCTAGGTAGACTCAAACACTTTTCTTCAAAATTTCTTAGTTTTTACGAATATCATGTCCCTATGGAAGAAACTGCGAAATATCGTTCAGATATAATATTTAAAAAATCATTGCAAATTTTCAACCTCTTTAAACTTGCACCTTATCATACTAAAATTGCATAACCTATAAAACTGATAATTTTCTAAAAACTCAGATTAGGAAGTTAGAAATTTTGAAATAGATTACATATGAATTACCTGTTAGCTAATAAAAAAGTAATAATTTTTTTAGTAAAGTAATTAATTTTTTTAAACAAGCTTTTATTAGTTGTTACAAAACAAACTAAAAGGTTTAATTTATGGCGAAATTTGTGTGCGGAGTTATTTCTTTCCATATAAGTAATACACGCTATCAATATGAACTAAATCGGGCCATAAATACCGGTTTTCAAATATCTTGACGCCTACGCCACCTAGCGGATTAATTACTGTTTCAAACTGCATTGTCATCGGGCTCTGAGTTACATAAGTTTGCAGTTTCACGTCTCTACCTCATCGGAAAGTTGGTTAAAATGGATTTCACGATTTGATTAAAATAAATAAAAGCTTGTCAAAAAAATATATTTAGCTAAGGATCGCCTAGTAGCGGGCATGAATCAAATAACCGCGCAAAAACGTAGGCAATGTGCATATTTTTGAGTTTTCACCTCAGGCTGTACCACTGTGGAGTGCCGCTTTCGATAGCGTGAAAAGAAGCTGCTCTTCGAAACACATACATGTAACTGTTCTATTAGAATTGGGAGCGACTCCCATTCGTATGATTTTTTTAATCCGATGTTAGAGAAGATTATAACAGGCAACTAAACTAAATCGCTCAGAAATAATTCGAACAATATTCACACAATCGGCCGCAGTAAACACTAAGTTTTTTCTGCTTTCTCCAAGCGGGATAGGGAATCAAATTGGATGGGTTTGCTTCTAAACGAGGACACAACGAAGCACCTACTGCCTTCCAACATGAAGGCTGTGCATCAAATACAAAATTATGTACGTCGTTGGTTTCGTTACTATGCTCTCCGTTTCTACTTTGGCCCTGCGTTTTTCTGCTTTCATACATTGAAACAAGCGCAACGTTCTCCTTCGTCAAATGCGCCACCTATGTCCCTACAACTTTCTCGCTGCATTCCTAACAACTGACAGCATCTCAAGCTATTCACACTTGCGTTGAAGAAGCTCACTTAAATGCGATAGGTAGCAAGACGGCTGTGCACAGTGATGAACGGCAGTACGCGGCAGAAGAGACTCCTCCTCCCACTACAAATCTAACACCGAATGTTCGTTCCTTTACATGGCATCTGTAGTAGACGTGCAAGGCACCAAGCGTTTTTGTCCTGCCCTATCTATTTAAGCAACTTATTCATTTCCCGCAGAGACAAAGATCAGCGAAAAAATCACACGCATTTGTATTGCAAATAATAATAATAATAATAGATTAACGCTTACACATATGTTAGTGTTTGGCCGATCTTCTCCGTCTGGTCAAAGCAACATCGCAAAAAAATATAGAAAAAATGTTTTTTTTTTCTTAACAGCGGTCGTCCCTTAGCAGGCAATGGCAAACCTCCGAGTGTATTTCTGCCCTAAAACACAGCTTCTCATAAAAATACAATCGCCGTTCGGCGTCGGCATAAAACTCCACCACACTCCACTCCCGAAGTAAATTTTGACATGGTAGTACGCTACGGCTTACAAACCACACTGGGGGCTCTGCATGAATACATCACTGAATAAATCCCAGCTCATTTCACAGCACCGTCACATCTTGCGCTACCGCTTCATCGACCAGTCCGCATATCTCTCTGTTTCTATCGCGCGTATCAGTCATATGGAAGGGCATCTGCTCCCCTTTCATCCCCTCGCCAAACGAAAAGAGTCCGGTTTTTTGACACCTAGCCACCCTGCCTATAAACCATATGAACTCATTGAGCTCGATACATAAACTCGCGCGACAGAGGTAATCCCTACCTCCCCTAGTCCACTAACTAGTTCACAACTCTCCCGCTCTCCGTCAGCTAAACACTGCCCATCGAATTTCCTGGATGGCGGTGAAATCAGCCTTTGTGTTTTTGAGGGCCTCAACCAGCCGGGTAGAGGACCTTTCTCATTAAGGGTCCGAACATTCTAGGTGCATGCTGCCCTCACATCGTGGTCATTTAATCGTTTGCCGTGACCGTCATCAAAAGAAGAGGTTCTCATCCGAGACTTCGTTATTCTTTCCCTTGGAGCTTATTTTTACTAGGCGCACAACCAATTGCTGGGAGCGTGCCCTAATAAATAAATAAATAAATAAATCAGTTCGAAAAAGACTGACTATTCTACCACTTTCTTTTACAAACTTTTATTATTTTCAGGTACAAGAATTTTAAGATGTTGCTCATAGATAAAAAACTAAGGAATGCACTTTAAATAGGCTAACTTCGAAAGTGTACCAATACAATATTTGAATACTGTTGTAATGCGGTATTTAAACCGTTTGTGAAAATTTAACCCAGAAAATTTAATTTTACCGCTACTTGCGCATATGGCATTCAAATATTACTAAAATTCGCTCTGCATAAAACTAAGCACTTCCTC